ATCCAAGAGCACGGAATATCTTTCCATTTCTTTGTGTCTTCTTCAATTTCTTTCAGCAATGTTTTATAGTTTTCAGTGTACAGATCTTTCACCTCTTTGGTTAAGTTTATTCCTAGGTATTTTATTCTTTTTGTTGCAATTGTAAATGGGATTGTATTCTTAATTTCTCTTTATGCTGGGAAGCAAGATATTTCTAATGCCCCTGTTCCCTAGCAAAGGTTTTATTTTTTTCTTTCTACCATTTACTAATAAGGACTTGCTTTGTCCTAGGTATTTTATGTTATCTCCTTAATTCTTTACAATGGCCCTATCTGTCAGGGTTCTTGGTCTCCTGCAGGGGAACCAGTTAAATAAGAAAGAGGTGGAGGGGGAGGGGAAGAGGGAGGGAGGGAGGGAGGCTATTACAAAATGTAGGAGTCAGCTGCCTTCATTTTACACATTGAGAAAAAGGAGGCTCAGAGAGATGAAATGGGTTGCCCAAATCACAGTAAGTGTTGCAACTGGCTTTCAGACCCGAGGGTCTGTTCGATGTCCACATTCTATGAGAACAACGTATGAGACGTGCTGCTTTCCAGGACAGTCTGACAAGCTACTGCCCTACTCAACTGCCCAGAGCGAGGATGCCCCTCCTCTGTCTGGGGTTTCCCCACAGTCTCAGTGAGGGAGGCATCGATGCTATAGAACAAGGAATTTATTATAGGGGCAAGACTTGGTCCAACGTTGGGAGAGCTGGTGGAGAAAGCTATGCCAACTGCTCCCTCTGGGTCTAGTGTTGAGCTTGGAGTCACCAGAGGTCAGCCAGGTAGCAGTTAGGGAGGAAGGATGGATGTGGACAAGACCAAGCACAAACTGGAAGTGCATCTGCATGTCACCACCTCCACCCTTGGAGCTGTGGGAATCAGGGGCCTGTCGGAAAGGCACAGAGCGGCACACACGTGCCCTGTGCTTGGAGAGGCTGAAGGAGGGCTCTGGCAGAAGCTGCAGGAGCTGCAAGTCCGTGAGCCAACAGATCAGCAACAGCATGCAGGAGCCACCATGCTCTGTTGCCCTGTATCCATCCTCAGAAGGTAAAACATGACTGCTATTTTCACTTGTTTCTGAATCTCAGGCAACGTCTCATGACCAACGCTAACCTTTAGCCAGCCAGGGAAGAATATCCTGGGAAAAGTAGTTCCAGCTGAGCCACACGGACACGATCCAAAGCCACCACGCCCACCTTATGAGTCTCAAGAGTGGCCAAGTGCACCTCTCATTGACCAAAAATGCCAGAGGTTTGCTTTCCTAGGTCACCTTGCACACGTCCTAGGATAAGTCAATCAGATGTGGGTCTGGAGCCACAAGGCGGCAAGTCAGTGGTGAATTCTTTCCGTGCAGTCTGCCCAGTTCCCACGAGGCATACAGCGGGAACCCAGGACCAGGATGCTAGGTTTGAATGGGCTGGGTCTATGTGACTTGGGCAAGCCAGCTAAGCTCTCTGGGCCTGTTTCCTCATCTTTAAAATGGGCAGAAAATGTCTTATATCACATGGTAGAATATGAATTGCATAAACTGCCTCAGGTTTGAAACCTCATGGATTTATTGCAAGGTATCTTTTTTTCCTGCCTGTTTTCCAAGCCTGAATCTTTTTGCTTCCTGGTGATTCCATGAGCTACCCCATAGTCTTTTCTCAATAAATGCAATTTTAGCTCGTCAGTTTGGTTCTGTTGCTTAAAGGAGGCATAAAGATTTCCCAACAAAAGCACATGAAGCCTTTCATGGGGTGGGGGAGGGGTGTTTGCTCTCTGTACTAGATAGTTGTACTGTGTCTAGCAGGACTGGATCTTTCTTGTTCTTAGGCTGGCTCTCTTCTGGTGTCACTGATAGATGACAGTTGAGAATCTTGCCCCATGCCCCTCCAGATGGCAAGAAACATTAATGCTTTTTTAGCCATCACCTCCAAGATGCCTAATATCAGCCTTCCTCCCTCTTCCCATTATCATGAAAGCTCTTTTCCTTAAGACTTGTGTACCTATAGATAGTCCAGAAGACCTGCTGGTTGGGGATCCAGTTTCACTTTGGAGATGCACACCAAAATCTTGCCTATGGGGTCAAGTCTTTGGGCTTCGCTTAGCGAGTAAATGTCTAGTCTACGTCAACCCAAGGGTGCCGTCCTCTCCCGAGTGAAGCCCATCTGTTCTGTGCTGCAGGATGCCCTCCACTGCCCTGAGCTTGAATGGGACCTCACAGAGGGCAGCTCAGCTCATCACCTTCAGTTCAAATCTGGCTCTTTCAGTTGTAATGTTTTTAGGAAGTAAAGACACAGGAGACCAAAAAATAACAGCTTTATTTATGACTGAAGAAGTGAAGGCATTCACAAAATGCCAAGGAAAACCATTTCCTGTTCATTTTTTTAGAGCCTCTGAAGCCTGAACTTTTACTATGTACCAGGAAAGAATGCTTCTCTTGAACATAGTATCTTTTATACTACAGTTATTTTTCTGTTTTTCTCAACATCTCAGTATTAGTTACCCAGTTTGTCCCATTGGGCCCTGACTTATACTTATCACGTCTGTCCACTTGTTGAATTTCTTGGGCTCCTTGTGCTGGCCACAGTTTCCCTTCAGTGCTCCCTCAGATGCAGGTATGCATAGGACACAGCTACTGGAGTCCCTCAGAGTTTATGATCTTTCCCTGAGTAATGATGGCAGCCAGGAAATGAGCAAAGGGTTGCATTAGGGAATCAGAAAATTAAAGCCTTAAATATAAGGCAGACAACTCCATTTTCCTCAACTGAAATAGTGGGTTGGATAATGCTTTCCTAAGCAATACCATATGCGTTGTGTATACAGCACACAATGTTAATTTTATTATATATATATAAGTATACAAACAGATTTAGGGAAAACCTGCAGACTATTTCCCCCAAATGATTGACATAGCCAAAAAAGGGGGGGGGGCACAAATTAATAGCCCTTAGAATTTGAACAGAATGGGAAGACATTTATTTTCATAAAGTCTTGGTGGAGACACACTCCAGGGATGACCTGGCCTCAGTGAAAAGCAGATTTTTCCGGTAGCTATACTGACCGCAGGCAGGTCACCGAAAGCCGACTGTCAACAGAGGAAATGGTGACTGCTTGTATCCTGGGTTTCTGATCTAAGCAGCAGCTCCACAGTCACCAAAGGTATTGTACACACACAGCTTAGCGATATGGGTCCACGGGAGTGTATGTTTTAGAATATACCCATTGGAAGCACTTATTGAATGCAAATCAGAATTCATGAAACTAGAGGCCACTTACACAACACAGGGACTGTCCCTATACAAAGGGTTCACAATCTGTACCGGCCCTTTAAGATGGCAAATAGTGTTAGAGGACTATTGTAAACAACTCAAATACGGAAAAACAAAACAAAATGTAGTACAATATATAATTATTGAAGATTTTTCTTTCAGGTAAGATTTTCAGAAAACCCAGGGATAGACTTTATATCACAAAATGGTCCATATCGCCCAAAAATGTCTTTTGACTGGACAGTAAAATAATATTTGTTGGAAGCCAAAAACTGAGATAAAGTACAGGCCATTGGGAGTGGTAATGCTTTAATTTCTCCAATTTTCTTCCAAATCAACTTATTACTAGGGTTCTCATGGCACAGGAAGAGGTGGTAGCTTTCCACAGGAGCACACTTGGGATTGATTTTGGTGATGTTCCAAGTCAGGGCAATGCCCCTGGGTCTCAGCACCCGTTTCACTTTGAGCTCAGGCTTCTGAGGAGGAAGTGTATCCCGGATTTTGTCTACCAATTCAGGCAGGAGTGGTGGTGGTTCTGGAAGAGGTGGCAGGTGCTCAAAGGACTCAAGAACCTAAAAACACATTTATAAAAAGTTTAGCGAGTTGGATTGGTGGGTTCTGATTATTTTAAAGTGATCAACCTCAGTTCTACAATGTGTATTTCCCATTCCTCAATCCAGTTCTCAAAATTATAAGAACAGAAGGATGCTTCAAGAACTTGTGAGGCTAGATCCAGTCTTTTCAAGCATAAGCTTGTTTTAGAGTTAAGATTTCTGCACTCTGGAATATCACTAATCCACAGCGTGTTAGGTCCTAGACATTCTGGATACATATTCCAACTCATTTCAAAATTGTGTTCCCAAACACTGTGCTAATTTACATGAAAAGTGTGAGTGAACGAGAACATCCATTTCCCTCCACCTTCATCAACAATGGTTATCACTCTTAAAACAAAAATCTTTTTGAATCTGTTGGGTTAAAAAATGTATTTGTTTTAATTTCTGTAGTTTCTGGAAAATTAAGTTAAATTATTTTAATTGTGTAAATAAGTAGACTCACAATAGCACATTTAAAAAGGCACATTAAAGTGCTTTCTAAGCTGAAATGTGACCCAAATGTTTCTTCATGGCTAACATGGGTACTTCTACTCAATTTGGAATGAATATCCCTTACAGAGCATTTCAATCAGTACCTGGGCTGCATTTTGTGCCACTGGAGTTCTCTCTTTTGAGATTGAAACAGCTTTCATAGGTGACTCCAGGGTGGATACTGGACTTCCTGTGAAGAACACAAGGTTTAAGAAGTAAAATGTATCTGCAATAATCAACCCTACAGCCTTTAAACAAAGAATAGTTTTCGTCTTGGGTGGTAATTAAATGTGAACTAAAATTACCAAACTGTGAAATGAGAAGAAAAACTTGTGATAAAAGTTTAAGACCCAAAGGTACCAAGTATAGAGAATTTTCCTTTAATGTGACAAAAATTCCCCTCTTAAGGTAAACATTTAAGTCATTATGCAACTGGAAACTAGGAAAAGTTACACATGGAAGAGGGATCCCCACTCAGTGGTCTTAGAGGTAGATTCTGCTCTGTTAGGTTAACAAGGATGTTTGTAAACATAGAGCCATTTACAAGAATGGTTTGAAAACAAATGGGGAGAATATAGATGGCGATGGTAAGAAAGGGGACTTCATGTTGTGAAGTAGTAGGTCTGGTAGCCAAAAGTTTCAGAAGTTTAAACATATCTAGTAAGTAGTAAAAACCATTTTAGATCCATTGTGTGTGAAGTGATATAACTGTTTAATCTAGTTTGTGAATGTCCCCAAATGAAACTTCTTTTACTTGTATTTTTCTTTTGACTGATGAGGATAATCAAGATTTTGCATTGTGTTTCAAAGTTAATTTATGACTAACTTTATTTACTGGTGTTAAAACAGTTTTTTAGAAGAGGTAATGACTTTATATTTTTAATTGTAAGAGAGTCTGTACAGCCTTTTTAACTGGTTTAATTAGTTAGAACTAGATTTGTGAAATCATAATCTGCAGGTTAATCATCATACAAGAGGTAATACAAATAACCTCTTTAAATTTTCAAGTGAACAATTTCATACCAAAAAAAAAATCTAACAAATATAACTTCCCATAACTAACATTCCATCTTTCAAGGTAATAAGTCAACAGGCCCCTGGCAAATTAAAATAGGCTAGGAGAGAAACTCAATTTTATGATGATAAGAAGAGACAAAATAGGACTTTTATCCTAAACCAGTTAGTGTTTACATCCTTTGTGTTACCAACGCCAGTGTCTTGTAAATACTCACCAGCCTTTATCCTTATCTATATAAAAATGAGTAATGATTACTTCAGTGCTTTGTATTCTCAAAGCAATAGAGCCAGTACATCATTATTTTAAGGTTCCTCATTAAATCTCTAGGTGAGAACTGTGGCCACTTGTTTCAACTAAACCCTTTGGTGTTTGACCTTATGGATCCTTTGCTGCATGAATATAAACATGTAAACACACATATTCACCCATGTAAATATTAATATTATAAAAATGACTTTTAGAGTTTGAATTTTTAAATGAACTATTCAGATATAATTTACATACAATAAAATGTACCCATTTTAAATGTGCAATTCTTTGAGTTTTGACAAATGTACACTTGTGAAACCATCACCAAAATCAAGATGCAGAATATTTTTATTATCCCCAAAGTTCTTTAGTACCCCATCTCAGTCAATCCCTCTCTCACCTCTGGACCCATGAAATCACAGGTCTGGTGTCACTGAAGATTAGATTTGCTTTTTCTAGAATTTCATGTAAATCAAATCACACAGTGTGTAGAATTCTTTTGCCCAGTATAATGTGTCTGAGATTCATCCATGTTGTTGCATAAAACAATATTTTATTCATTTTTATTGTGAAGTAGTATTTGGCTGTAGAGATATGCCACAACCTATTTATACATTTGTCTGTTGATGGATATTTGGGCTGTTTCTCATTTGGGGCTTTTATGAATAAAGTTACCATGACCATTTATGTACAAGTCTCTGTGTAGATGTAGGTTTTCATTTCTCTTGGGTAAATACATACGAGTGGAATAGTGTCACATGGTTAGACTATAGTTAATGTTTTGAGAAGCTGCCAAACTACTTCCAAGGTGGTTTTCCCATTCCTACCAGCACAGTATGAGAATTCCATGTTGCTCCATATCCTTGCCAACACTTTGCATATTTTCAGTTGTTTTTATTCTAGCCATTCTAGTGGATATGTTGTGGTATCTCATTATGGTCTTAATTTCCCTAATGAATAATGATGTTGAGGATGTCTTCTTGTGCTTATTTGTCCTCCCCCTATCTTCTCTAGTGAAGTATCATCTACTTACTTTGGGTTTAACTTATTCTTTTTTTCCTAGCATCTTAAGGTAGAGGCTTAGACTATTCATTTTAGACTTTCTGTTTTTACTAATATAAACACTTAATGCTAGTAATTTCCCTCTCAGCACTGCTTTAGTTGCATCGGTCAAATTTTGATATGCTGCGTTTTCATCCTCACTCAGTTCAAAATATTTTTAAATTTCCCTTTCAATTTCTTCGACTCATGGGTTACTTAGAAACGTGTTTAGTTTATAAATATCTAGGGTTTTCCAGCTATCTTTCTGTTATTGATGACTAATTTAATTATGCTGTGTCAGAGAACATACTCTGAATGATTACAATCCTTTTACATATACTGAGACTAGCTTTATGGTCCAGAACCTGATCTATCTCATTGCATGCTTCATATGCACTTAAAAGGAACGTGTATTCTGCTGTGGTTGGATTGAGTGTTCCATAAATGACAATTAGGTTAAGTTGGTTGATAGTGTTGCTCAAGCTTCTATAACTTTACTGACTTTCTGTCTACATATTGTATCAATTACTGAGAAGGGAGTATTGGAACCTCCAATTATAATTTTCTGTTTATCATTTCAGTCCCATTGGTTTTTGCATCAGGAATTTTAAAGTTCTACTATTAATTGCATATACATGTAGGTTTACTATGTCTTCCTGATGAAAAGAGTGCTTTATCATTATGAAACAGCCCTTATCCCTGGTTATATTCCTTGTTCTGAAGTCTATTTGTCTGATAATAGTCACTCCAGCTTCCTTATGATTAGTGTTTGCATGTTTTTGCATTATCTTCTTCCATCCTCTTAATGTTAACCTATCCACATATTTAGATCTAAAGTGCACCATATAGTTATCATATATTTGGGTCTTTTGTTATCCCGTCCAATAATGTCTGCTTTTTAATGGAGTGTTTAGACCATTTACACTTATGCAAATTATCAATATGGTCAGATTTAAATCTATCATCTTGCCTTTTGTTCTCTATTAGTCTTGTTTGTTCTTTGCTTTTTTGTGGCTTCTCTTTGACTATTTAAAAAATTCCAGGGGCCACCCCAGTGGCGCAAGCAGTTGGGTGCACATGCTCTGCTGCGGTGGCCCAGGGTTTGCCGGTTCAGATCCCAGCCGTGCACCGATGCACCGCTTGTCAAGCCATGCTGTGGCAGCGTCCCATATAAAGTGGGGGAATATGGGCATGGATGTTAGCCCAGGGCCAGTCTTCCTCAGCAACAAAAGAGGAGGATTGGCAGATGTTAGCTCAGGGCCGATCTTCCTCACACACACACAAAAAATTCCATTTTATCTCCTCTATTGGTCTATTAGCTATACTTCCACTTAAAAAAAATTACTGCTCTGGGCATTATCATATGTATCTTTAATAGCTTATTATAGTCTATCTTCAAATAACATTATACTACTCGTATAACGTAAGACCTTAACAACAGCATACTTCCATTCCTCTGATCATCTCTTGCACTATTGTCATACGTTAACACAGTACATATATTATAAACTCCACAATATGGTGTGATATTCCTTTGTGTAGATCCACTTTCCATCTGATACTGCTTTCCTTTTGCTTGAAGAACTTCATTTATTTTTGATAGTGAAGGTCTGCGGGCAGCAAATTGTGTTTATCTGAAAAAGTCTTAATTTTGCTTTCATTTTTGAAAGCTATATTTCCTGGATATAGAATTCTAGGTTGACGATCATTTTCCCTGAGCTTTTTAATGATGTCATTTGATTTGCATAGTTCCAATTGAGAAAACTGTGAATTCTTTGTTCTTCTCTATATATTCTCTATTTATCTTGTTTTTCTCATTGTTTTTCAGATTCTTCTCCTTTATCATTGCTTTTCAGGAATTGATTATGATTTGCCTTGATATGGTTTTCTTTGTATTTATCCTGCTTGGAGTTTACTGAAGTTTTTGGTTACGTGGGTCTGTACTTTTCATTAAACTGGAAAGCTTCTGACCATACATGTATGTTAGACCACTTGATATTGTCCCACAGTTCACTAGAGGTCTGATTGCTTTCCCCTTAGACCATTTTTTTCTTTTCTTAATCTTTCTTTACTTTGGATAGTTTCTTTCCAGACTCTTTGGATCAGGTACTACTTCCTCCAGTACACCAATTTGTTTTCCTTCTTTGGTGTCTAATATGCTGTTTACTCCATCCACTGAACTTTAAGTATTTTCTTTTTTTTCATTTGGTTCTATTTTGTATCTTTTATTTCTCTTCTTTTGTTCCTGTTTCCCTCTAAATCTTTAAGCATATTTCTATCACCTCTTTTAAAGTCCTTGTCTATTAATACTGTCATCTCTGTCATTTATAAGTTTGTTTCTATTGACTAATTTTTCTCTTGGTTATGGTTCCATTTTTTCTTCTTCATATCTCCAGTGATTTTTTAAATCAGATGATGGATATTACGAATTTTACATGGTTGTGTGTTGAATTCTTTTGTCCTCTTTTAACAGACAGTGGGCTTTGTGTGATAAGCCAGTGAGTTACTTGCAGTTCAGCGTGATCCTTTCAAAGCTTGTTTTTAGGTTTTATTAGGGCAAGGCTGGAGTTGCCTTTGCTCTAAGATGAGTTCACACCCAGATATGCAATAAGAATCTGCCACTATGGCTGGTCAGAATTGAAACATTTCCCATCTCTGTTTGAGCTCTGGAAATTGTTCAGCATAAAGTTCCTTGGTCATTCTTTACCTAGATTCATGGAGTTTCACTCTATGCATGTGTGGCTTAATATTTTGGCAAAGACTCATGAGGACTACTATGCTAACATCCTGGAGCTCTTTCTCTGAGTGGCTTCCTCGTTCTGATAGTCCTCTTCCCTTCATTCCAGTTGCCTCAGCCTCTCTGAACGCCTATCTGTGTCTCCTCACCTCAGCAAGACAGCCATCCTCTACTTGGGATCTCCTTCACTGCACCACAGTCTAGGAAGAAAGCTGGAGGAATCAGTAGGGCTCATTTCATTCATCTCCCTTCTTTCTGTGATTGCAGTCCTGTACTGTAATATCTGAAAAATTTTTTCTTATATCTTGTTTAGTTTTCTAGTTGTTTACTGCAGAAAAGTTAAGTGTGGTCCCATTTATTCCATCATGACTCTACATACATACTTTCATAACTTTTTTCTCTTGTTATGTTATTAACATGTTTACATCAATACATGTACTTCTTCTCCAACATTATTTTTAATAGCTGAATATTGCTATGCCATATAAACCAAATTTGTGCGAGTAATCCCTTATTTCTAGAAAATTGAGGTTTTCCAAAGTTTTATTTTCACAAATAGCACTGTAATGAACATCGGCATACTTCCCTATACACTTGACTTTAGTTTCTTCAGGTAACTATTCAAAGAATTTTTAGGTCAAAAGGCTTACATATTTGTAAAGTTTTTGATATTGACAAAATGTTTTCCAGAAAGATTTATACTCCCGTTCACAGTATAGAAAGGTACATTTCCTCTAAAACTCATTAGTGGAAAATCTGCTGCATTAATTCAACATTTTTTTGGAAAGTATACTATGTGCCACACACTATGCGCCACACACTATGCTAAAAGGATGGAAATATACAGGTTAATAAAGATAGCAATGCTGCTGAAAAGAATTTCAAGTTTTTTTAGGAAGAAAGATACGTAAAGAAACAATTACAGAACAATGTAATAAAGCTATGATATAGGTATGCACAAAATACCAAGGGTAAGCAGAGCAAGGAATGCCAATTGCTGCCTGGAAGGAACAGTTCAGCACAAGTGTCTAAACTGAATATTAAAGGATGAGAAGTGGGGTCATCAGACAAGCCTGAGGAGGTACAGAGGGGAGAGCATTCCTGGCAAAGAGAACCACATATGGAGAGATGGTAGAGAAAGAAGTACCACCTATTGAGAAGCTATTAAGGTGCAGGCAAGGAGTTTGTAGAAGATAAAGCTAGAAAAGTTTCCAGGGTTTAAGTCATTAAGGATTCTGTATATCTTGCTAAGAAATTTTGATATTTTTTTTTGGTGAGGAAGATTGGCCCTAAGCTCACATCCACTGCCAATCTTCCTCTTTTTTGCTGAGGAAGATTAGCCCTGAGCTAACATCTGTGCTCGTCTTCCTCTATTTTGTACATGGGATGCTGCCACAGCAGGGCCTGATGAGTAGTATGTAGTTCTGCGCCTGGGATCTGAACCTGCAAACCCCAGGCTGCCGAAGCAGAGAGCAGGAACTCAACCACTACACCACCAGGCCGGCCCTAAGGAGTTTTGATTGTATCCTGAAGACAAAAACATAACCAGACTTGTATATAGGAAATAATATTTTAGAGGCAGTTTGGAAGATTCATTAAAAGCAATAAGTTAGGGCAGAAATATTAGTTACTAAATTATGGCAATAGACCAGGCTAAAGGAGATGGAATTCTAAAATAAGGAAATCTATGGACCAGATCTGTTAGTGAGACTGAGTCTCCATGTTAGCATGCAGGACTCCATGCTTTGAACTTTTTCTGATCCTGTCTTATTCTCATAATGTGCTTTGTAGAAACACTTAGAATTGCATGTAGGCAAGCAAATCAGCAACCAGTAGAAAGAATAACTTGTTAGAAAATTTATGACCCCTGCCCAGAACTATAACTTCTGTCTAAGATAAGGAAGTAACTGATCTTTTCTTAGATTCCTCAGGAATGTCATATTCATCATCTGTCAGCAGATCTGAAACTCTTTGTCTATGGAGAGGTGCTCAACAGTCTGCAGTCATCTATCACCTGACATTCCTGAGCCCCCTCCTCAACCCCTATTTGCCTTATATAAGTTGCTGCCAAATCAGTTCCCTTTAAGATGGTTTTCTTTGGACGACAGTCTGCCATCTTCTGATCAGCTAGCTCATTGCTTAATAAAGTTCTTTCTCTACCACCACCTTGCCTCTTGACTGATTGGTTTTTGTCTTGTGGTGAGCAGATTGACCCCTTGCTCAGTAACATTAGCTTTTCAGGAGACAGAACTGACGGGCTTGAAAACTGACTAGATAGTGGAATGAGGCTGATTGAAGAGTCAACAGTAACTTTTCCACAACTGGCTTGGGAAATTGGGTGAGCTGGTGATATCATTCAAGCCTGTGAACATGGGAAATAGCCCAACTTTTGATCTGATTAACTATACTCTTATTCAGAACTGGACATTCTACAAGATAGACTCACATTATCATGAGTTAGCATCATGAATTAGCATAATCTATCTTTCCAATGGCTGGATTTCAAACTGAAGCCCCTCAAGTTAGAGGTATGACTTATTTCGTTAAGCACTGAATGAATCTGTGTTCTTACTTTTTAATTTACTGTATCTAAAATCCTGTATCATGTAGTTTAGAAACAATTTAGTAATCTTAATCATTAAGAAGTAACTGATTACTTCATTATGGACTCCAATTCATTTTTCAAATTTATATTTCTAATCTTCATCATGAAACTGGAAACTGATGGGTTTTTTAATTCTATCATGATGTACCTGGAGATTCTAAAGCTTCCAACCTTTGTTTGGATCCAGTTAAAAGGGGAGAAGGAATTGGACTATATATTTCCTATACTAATCTCCGTTTTTTAAAATATTACATTTTTTTTACTAATGCTAATAAGTGGAATTCAAATGTTTTATCAAAAGAGTACTATAGACATTCAAGTGCAGTTATTAAGAGATGAAACCCTATAACTGATTACCAGCCCCAGAGAACTGTATTTTACTTCTTTTTGTTTAAGTCTGAGAAAGAGAGCACTGCTGTCACTCGCCTTCTACATTTTCATGTTACGCCCTAGTGTCCTCTCACAGCCACTATTGTTATAGTTAAGGACAAAAGGTACCACAGGTAGAAAAGAGATTCATAATAGCCCCAAACAACCCAGATGACTTTCATCGAGTGAACAGATAAACTGTTATACTTCCATACCATGGAATACTACTAAGCAATAAAAAGGAATATTACTGATACACACAACAACTTGGATGACCCTCAGGGGGAATTATGCTAAGTGAAAGAAGCCAATTTCAGAAGGATACATATTGTATTATTACATTTATATAACATCCATGAAATAACATAATTATAGTGGTGAGGATCAGATTAGTGGTTGCCAGGGTTTAGGGATTGGGGACAGGAAGTAGGTGTGGCTACAATGGGTTAGCATGAGGGAGCCTTGTAGTGACAGAACTGTTGTGTAATTTGATTGTGGTGGCAGTTACACAAATCAACATGTGATAAAATTGCATAGAGCTAACTACACGCACACACTAATACACTAAAACAAACTTCATACAAGGGTCAAATGCATTTTGAGTCGTCATCCTTTCCTCTTTCTTAAAAAAGAAAGATAAATCCTTTACCTGTGTTGCAGTTTGATAGGCCTTCTGTCGTCAGATCAATCACAGTATCAAGTTTCTTCTTCTCTACAGCCTGAAAAGTTGTTGTTAAAAAAATAAGATTTTGCTTCAATAGCAGAAAATATTTTTAAAAAATAAAACACATATTTTAAATGACCATTTAGAAGCTAGAGACTGAACATTCTATAAGTCTTTATGGTTTAGTTTAACTCTACTATGAAAGAGAAGCTTATGAAATACTGTATGGTTTCTGAAAATATGACTAAGCAGAGTCTAAATGAGTTAATTTGGTAAATAAATATGGTTGTGAAATATGTTTATCATTAGCTGTTTGCTTTTTAATGTTTAAGCTGGACTAGAGCCTGGTTATGCTACCTAGTCAGACATTAATTTCTCAGAGAGTGAATCTCCCAAAGAACGAATGACAAAGTTGAGTCCTCCAACATGCAGCAACACTAAAGTTCTTAGAACTAACACATTCAAATAAGTAGCATTCAGAGACAGTATTTATTACCTACCATAACTTTAGTTTCAGTATCAGGTGAACAGTTAAAATTTCCTGATGTAATTTTTCCACTATCTGAAAGAAAGTTATTCAAATATGAACATTTGACAAGTTTATTAAACTATTAAATATTTATGGACTTTCTTAATATATGAATGCTGAAACACAAAAATAATGGGGACGCTAATTAAGCGTTTATTATATAATCATAAAAAGTAACTCAATTGACTTTACCTATTCCAAAGACTGATGAACCAGTTCAAAAAAAACAAAATCTAATTTTGGTTCAAGACATTTCGTCCTTCTGTAACTTTACAACTATATTAGTAACTCTTTTTTGAAACTCTATCTGTAAATTAATAGAGCATTTGAAGAAATAAACCTGGAAATCTATACATTTTTTATTCACAGTACCTTTAGACTAAACTACCTGAGATGACTAAGTAGCATTCTTCCTAGAACCAGTAGAAAGCCTCAGATAAATGTAACTATTTGATTTACAATCTTAATAGCCCACACCATGGAGGCAATTAAGTAGCTATATAAATAGAGGCAAAGCTTTCTGAAATTAAGATGCAAATATTCTAATATAGTAAAAAATGAAAAGAAAATGAGGAATTTTGAATGAGAAATTATGGACCAACAAGACAGCTATTTCAATAGAGAGGAAATTTATTGGAAATCTGTTAAAGATTTTTACAGAAACATAATAAGACAGAAACTCTAAAGAGCAACAAAGTATTATTAAAAAAGCCAAAAGTTAAAAAATCAAAGATACTAACGAATAGCGAAACTTTACATCTTAAGCAGATTATAACAGATAAAACAAAAAGACAAACAAAAAACCCCAACACTACCACCAACACAGGCCAGAGCAAACAAGCAAAAATAATGCATATGAAAAGTAAGCAGTTTTATTACTTACAAAGTCATTAAACAAACACAGTAAGGAAACAAAAGGCCATAAACTGATAAACACAAGGTTAAAAAGAAACCTTCATTTATATTAAGGAATCATTTATTTATTCAGGTAATATTAATCACAGATATAAATTAAAACATTTTTGAGAACAGAATTAAAATTTCATTTTATTAAAAGATAATATTCAATTCTCTATTTTAAAAAAATACTGATTTGAGGCTTTCTAATTTGATAGATCATATTTTAATCAACTTAAGATACCTGTTGGATTTGATGTAATTGGAGTTGTCAAATTAGGACTTTCCACAGAAATCAACATAACATCATCATTGTTACTAAAATGATAAAAAATTAAAAACAAAAATAAACTAAACATGCATATTAAGCTTAAACAAGCAAACAATGGTTAGAATTATTCTAATTTAACATTTTATACCTGACATGTTTTAATCTAACAATTGTGGGAGGTGGAATGGAGATGATAAAACCAAATACCCAAGAAACCCCATGTATTACCAATTAATGATATGACCAAAAGTTCATGGATATCCAATAATAAGGGACCCTTAAAACTTAGGAGAGATGCATTTACAATGAACCCAAATATACAATCTATAAGTATACAATATACATAAATGTACAAAATATACAAAAGTCACTCTAGCACATATACTTGCCTTCACAAAAATGAAAAAACATTTAACTGAAAGAAATCCACTAAGACACTTTGACTCTTACAAATACAGGACTATAACAAACAAAGCTATTAAAAAATTATTTCGGCCACTATCTACATTATATCACTATAGTCTCAGTATTTACCAGACATTTACTAAACTGAGGCAATGATGGTACATGATGCTGATTATGGTTACAGAATATCCTGAGTCAGAAGATTGCCTTCGGTTTCCATTTGACCCTGACTCCACTTTTATGAGTATGACATTTAATCAGAATTTTTGTTAAGAAAATATTGGTACAAATTTCATTAAGCCCATAAAATTGCTAGATGAATTTTCTATACACAGGGTTATACCATTTTCTTATAGATGTTTTTAATATTTAGCTTTTGTATTTAGGTCTATGATCCATTTCAAGGTATTTTTGCATATGGTGTGAGGTAACAGTTGAGGTTCACTTTTCCCCTCTGGTTATTCCAGTAACCTTTGTTGAAAAGACTATCTTTTCCCCATTAAATTACCTTGGCATCTTTGTTGAAAACAAATGGACTACATGTATGCTCTCTAACCTGTCCATTGATTTATATGTCTATCCTTATGCCAACACCGTTGTCTTAATTACTATAGCTTTATAATAAGTCTTGAACGCAGTAGTGTAAATATTCCAACTTTGTTCTTCTTTTATAACATTGTTTTCATCTTCTAGGTCTTTTGCATATCACATAAATTTTCGATCAGCTTGTTACTTTCTACAAAAAAGGCCACCAGGAGTTTGACTGAGATTGCATCAAATGTACAGAACAATTTGGTTGAAGTGGCATTAATAATGAATTTTCTGATTTGTGAACATGGCATATCTCATCATATATTTAGGTCTCCTTTAATTTCTTTTTACTTTTGTGCTTTTTAATTAACTTATTTTTTTTAGAGCAGTTGTAGGTTTATAGAAAAATTGAGTGGCAAGTACAGAGTTCCTATATACACTCTGCCCCCACACAACCTCCCCCACTATCAAAATCCTGTACCCTACTGGTATGCTTGTTACAACTGATGAACCTACACTGACATACCATTATCACCCAAAGTCCATAATTTACAATAGGGTTCACTTTTAGTGTTGTACATTCTGTGGGTTTTGACAAATGTATAATATGTATCCACCATTACAGTATCATATAGAACAGTTTCACTGCCCTAAAAATCCCCTGTGCTCCACCTATTCATCCCTCCCCACTAACTCCTGACAATATTTGATCTTTTTGCTGTCCTCATAGTTTTGCCTTTTCTAGAATGTCTTATAGCTAGAATCATACAGTATTTAGCCTTCTCAGATTGGCTTCTTTCACTTAGTAATATGCTTTTAAGCTTCCTCCATGTTGCTTTTAAGCTTCCTCCATGTTGTTTCATAGCTCATTTCTTTTATAGCACTGAACAATATTCCATTGTCTGAATGCACCACAGTTTATTTATCCATTCATCTACTGAAGGACATCTTGGTTGCCTCCAAGTTTTTGGCAATTATGAATGAAATTGCACTTTATATGATTCCATCTTCTCTCCTTTCTTAGCATATCAATTGTACTTCGTTTTTAGCAGTTGCCCTCGAGTTTGCAACATACATTTACAACTAATCCAAGTCCACTTTGAAATAACACTATAACTGCTTCACAAGTAGTGCAAGTACCTTATAATGATAAAATATTTCTAATCCTCCTTCCTGTTCCTTGTATCATTGCTGTCATTCACTTCACTTATATACAAGCGTGTGCACACACACACAAGCATATATAATCAAATACATTGTTGCTATTATTTTGAATAAACTCTTTTCTGTTAAACCAATTAAGAATAAGAAAAATAAAAGTTTCTATTTTATCTTCACTCATTCCTTCTCTGATCATCTTTTCTTTATGTAGATCTGATTTTCTGATATATCAGTTTCTTTTTCTGTGAAGAATTCTTAACATTTCTTGCAAGGCAGATCTACTGGCAACAAATACCCTAAATTTCTGTTTGTCTGAGAAAGTATTTCTCCTTCACTTTTGAAGGATAATTTCACCGAGTACAGAATTTTAGGTTGGTGGTTTTGTTCTCTCAACACTTCTAAATATTTCACTCCACTCTCTTCTTGCTTGTATAGTTTCTAAGGAGAAGTCAGACGTAATTATTATCTTTCCTCCTCTCTAGTTAAGGTGTTTTTTTCTTCTGGCTTCTTTCAAGATTTTATCTTTAATTTTCTGAAGTTTAAATGTGATATGCTTCGGTGTAGTTTTCTTAGAATTTATCCTGCTTGGTGTTCTCTGAGCTTCCTGGATCTGTGACTTGGTGTCTAATATTTATTTGGGGGGAAATTCTTAGACATTTTGCTTCCAATATTGCTTTTGTTCCTTTCTTTTATTTCCTTCTGGTATTCCTAGTATGCATATGTTATTCCCTTTGTAGCTGTCCCAAGTTTTCAGACATTCTGGGTTGTTTTCTTTTTTTATCTTTTTCTGTCTTTGATTTTCTGTTTTGGAAGGGTCTACTGCCATATTCTCAAGCTCAGGGATTCTTTCCTCAGCCGTGTCTATTCTACTAATGAGCCGATCAAAGGCAGTCTTCAATTTTGTTAGTGTTTTTTATCACAAGCATTTCTTTTCTTAGCATTTCCATCTCTCTGCTTACATTATCCACCTGACCTTGCATTTCGTCTACTTCTTCCATTAGAGACCTTAGCATATTAATCATAGTTTTTCAAAATTCCTGGTGTGGGATAATTCAAACATTCCTGCCATATCTGACTCTGGTTCTGATGCTTGTTCAGTCTCTTCAAATTGTGTTTGTTGCCTTTAGTATGTCTTGTAATATTTTGTTGAAAGGTGGACATGTACTGAGTAAAAGGAACTATGGTATACAGGCCTTTAGTAAAGTAATGGTAAGATGTGGGGGAGGGGAAGCATTCTACTAGTCCTATGATTAGGTCTCAGGCTTTTAGTGAGCCTGTGCCCTTGGAGTGTGAATTTCACTAGTGCTTCTCATTCCCCCCACCTCACTCAGGTGGAACACGATGGCTAGAGGGGGCTAGAGTTAGGTATCTCCCTCCTTCCATGTGGAAGGCTAAAGGGAGCAGGAATTTGGTATTTCCTTTCCCCCAGGTAGGTTAAGCTCTGGCAATAGTTTCCCTTGAGGGCAGGCCTTGTTAAAAACAGAGTGCTGTGGTGTTCTTTGTTCAAAAGGTTCCTTTTACCTTCCCCCGCTGGAAGCATGAGGGGATTTTTCTCCAATATTCACTGTGAGGATCTGATAGAGCTTCTGGAGATAAAACTCACAAAACTGTACCCCCCCACCCCCGTAATTGGGCCCCCTGGAGTTTTTAACTCTCAGATTTATCTGAGCCTCCAGCAATCACAGCTTAGGTTTTCCTACCCCAGCCCTGGCTCCCATGGAGGTTTCTGCTCACAAGTGGTTTCCGCTCCAGTTCCGGTATGTTGTGATTCTCTGTTTCTGCCTGTTTATCTCTCCAATTTTGGGGGCAGTAGTTTACTCTGTGGCTTACTTCTCTAATGGATCTAAGAAGAGTCATTGATTTTTTCAGTTTGTTCAGCTTTTTATTTATTGTTAGACTGGAGTAACAACTCTCTACAGGCTGAACCAGAAATAAGAAACCTACTTTGTAGTTTTGAAGTACGTCTTATAGATATTTTGGTAATTTTGTCCCTACGTATATCATGTTCTTTGATATTATGTAAATGGTATTGATTTTAAATTTCAAATTCCAACTGTTTGTTGCCGGTACATAAAAATACTACAGAAAAATAGTAAGAAATATATAATATAGACATATACACACCCACCACATAGTATAGAGGAACAGTATGATACATACCCCATATAGGAACACAGAAAAGTATTTTATATTTATCCATATATTTATAATTTCCAGCACTCTTCATTATCTTACCTTTGCATAGATCCAAATTTCCATCTGGTATTATTTTTCTTCTGCCTGAAGAACTTCTTTTAACATTTTTTATAGTGCAGGTCTGCTGCTGATGTATTCTTTCACTTTTCTTTTAGTGTGAAAGTCTGTTTTCCCCTACACGTTTGAAAGATATTTTCACTGAGTGTAGAAATTTGAATGGACAGTTTTTCTTTCAATGTTTTAGAGATGTTTCTCCATTTCAATGCTTTAGAGATGTCCTCTAGTTTGCACAGTTGACAGCAAGAAGTCTCCTGATCTTATTTTTTGTTCCTTTCTATGTAATGTGTCTTTCCTCCCTGGCTGCTTTTAAGATTTTCTTGTCACTACTGACTTTCAGCAATCTGATTATAACATGGTTTTCTTTATGCTTTTTCTGCTTAGGTTTGTTAACCTTTTTTTTTTTTTTTTTTTACACTTACAGGTTTAGGATTTTCACCAAATTTGGAAAAATTTTTAGACATTATATTTTTCTGGCCCCCTCTCCCCTACCTAGTGATACCCCAATGACATATATATTAGACTGCTTGATACTATGTCACAGGTCTCTGATGCTCTATTCATTTTTTTATTAGTCTTTTTCCCCCCATGCTTTTGTTTGAACAGATTTTATTGCTAATTCACTGATTTTTTTTTAAACAAAAATCAATAATTATCTATTCTGTTGTTAATCCTATCCAATGTAGTTTTCACTTTA